ACACACACACACACACACACACACACACACACACACACACACACACACATATACACACACACACAATATTCGAAAACAGAATTCTTGAAATATTTCACACTTTTCAAAAATGGAACATATGAAAATTCCACTGATCGTTTTTATCGCAATTAAACGATATCCCGGTGAAAAAGTTGTCGGCAGCATTCGAAAAGTGGGACGCAGCGCAATGAAACGACGGGATCGTGCTTTAAATCGCCAGCAGCAGCAGCAGAACGCAGCCACCCAGAATTTTTCGACTTTTTCCTTTTCCCCGCAAAAAGAGCGAAAATAATTTATTTCAAATGTGATATGAATTCGTGAGTCGCGACTTTCGCGCGATATATTTATTCGAAAATGCCGCATCTATTCATAAAAGCATTTAGGCCGGAATTAGACTATGGCGAACAAGTCGCGAGAAAGTCGCGTTTCGCAATTCGAATAAGACCGAAATGAGATTATGCATTGAAGATTGAGATTGAAATTTGATAAATCAAAATAATAGGAGCTAAAATTCTTTTGTTCTCATTGGTCAAATTTCAATCTTCAATCTACAATCTCAATCTTCAATGCATAATCTCATTCCGGCCTTATCCGTGTTGCGAAACACGCGACTTTCTCACGACTTGTTCGTTTCGCGAAAACCGTCGTTGTCACGCGATAGATGCCTTTCTGATACAATTTGCGAGTTTAACGATTTGCCAACGCAGCATGCGTCATCGTCATCACTGTCGTCATCGCGACGTGAAATACGAAATAATTGGATGATTCGGTAATCCTCTTACAGGAACAAAAGGAGAGAATCAAAGAGGTTCCATAACGATCGTAAACCGCGCATAGAACTGCGAGATCTGAAGAGAGAGAAAAATAAGTTTCGCGAGAGCGAAGGAATTCTTACGGTATTTTTACGATTCTTACGGTATTTTTCGTTCGATCGAACAAAGGAACCACAATGGAACGCGCCGACAAAACTACGTGAGAAACTATTGATTCGAAATAGGCATTGTTGAGCGCGAATCAAATGATAATCATAATCAAATCAGCATCGCCGCTAAGAAAGCGGAAGCTCTTTCCATCTTCTATTCACAATTGTAAATAATTTCTAATGATCTTGTACGAATTTAAACGCGCGTTTGCGTTTACATAAATTATAGAAATCATTATCATTTTTTGAAAGAAATCTTGTTAACTATTTAAAAGAACTCTTGAATAAGAGCACATCCTAAAAATGAAAAGTGAAGATAAAAAATCGTTGGCATTTTTCCAGCTTTGGTAGAATACTTAATTGAAATTTATTATATAAATTTGGACCGCGTTCAGAATAAATCTAATTATATAAGAAAGATCCTATATTCAGTCGAAGCAGATTTTAAATATTTCTATGTGAATTTATATATATATTTCATTTTGCAAACTGCGCATCGAAATTCTTTTCGGTCTTGAAACGCAATTATGTGCAGAACTAGTAGTAATATATCTTCACTTATTCAATTGACAAACAATTAAATAATACAGTTTGCGGAATCTGCAGACGTATATAAATTCACACAGAAATATTTAAACATTAAGATCCTCTTTGACTAAATATAGATTTTCTCTTATTTGATTTTGTATTGAGTCGAACCTTCTCCATCCTTTATCATCTCCTGTGCTTTAATCGGTATCAACCGCTGTACCATTCGATTAATGATAAAATCGCACGAGAAAGCGGGACTGCCCGTAAAAGATCAGAAACTTCGGGGCGCTTTTAGTGTCTCTTAAAAGAAACTAATAATAATAATGAAGAATCGTAGTTGCTCTAAGGCGCGCCATCGCCTTTCCAGCAGCGTTGCGGCGCGTCGACAATCTGGGTTAATTAATTCCACTTAACGATTTTCCGTCTCTTTCTTGATTGCGGGTGGCTGGCGCAGAGGTAGAGGCTTTAAATCGCGGTTAGTACTAAGCGACGTTAATAACGAATGTAATAGAGTTCCAGGTTAAGTTGCGCACCGATAGTCGGGATTAATCCTGGATTTTATATGTGTTCTATATATATATATATATATATATA